CTGAAAGGACCAATGTATCTAGGGACCATCTTGCCCCGTTTCCTAAATCAGATCACTCTTTTCCATGGGAATACCTTCAGAGGACAAAATCCCCGACCTGAAACTCTAGCTCTAAACGGCGGCAGTCGGCGTTACTCTTCTTACGAATCTGGGTCGTCAGTAACCTCTGTCTGACCGACTGGATCTGCTCTATCGTCTTGAGCACTATCTCAGTGCCCCCATCACTCTCTGCGCTACCTCTCCCCAATAGATGGGAGTATTACACCTCCTCCCAAATAAGAGCTCAAAGGGAGGCATACCAACACTGGAGTGATGGTTATTGTTATATGAAAACTTAGCTAAGGGAAAATAAGTGTCCTAACTCCCACCGAAGTCTATAACACATGCACGTAGCATGTCCTAGACCATCTAAGTCGTCTGCTCGCTCTGCCCGTCTGTCTGTGGGTCATATGTGGTACTGAAGTTCAATCGGGTACCCAACTCCTCATGAAATTTCTTCCAGAACCTGGAAGTAAAATGTACATCTCGGTCTTACACTATTGATGTCGACACTCCATGTCGTGCCACCACCTCTCGCACATAGATCTCGGCCAATTTCTCTGCAGTAGACCTCTCACTGATAGCCAGAAAGTAAGCACTTTTCGTCAACCAGTCTACAATCATCCATATCGCGTCGACATATCGTGCGGTCCTCGGTAATTTGGTGATAAAATCCATGTAAATTTGTTCCTACTTCAACTAGGGAATCTCTAGAGGCTGCAACTGGGCATGTGGATGTTGGTGCTCCGCCTTGACCTGACGACAGGTCAAGCATCTCTTGACTATCCATGCCACATCTATCTTCATGCAGGGCCACCAATAATCACTTTTTAAGTCCAAATACATCTTGGTGGCTCCTAGATGGAGTGATAATATCGACCTATGGGCCTCCTCCATCAAAATATGTCGAGCTCCACCCGTATATGGCACCCATACCCACCCATGGAAAGATATAAGTCCCCGACTATCTGTCCCAAACTGAGAAATCTGCCCAACCACCCGCTCTTTCTTACGGTTCTCTGGTCTTACGCCCACCACATGGGACTTTCTAAGATTGGAGTCATCACTGTCATCCTTTTGCACACGTCTCAGATCAGAGCACTCATTGCTCTGTGACTCAGGGCATCGACTACCACATTAGCCTTGCTAGGGTGATATAAAATCTCACAGTCGTAGTCTTTCACTACATCCAACCATCTCTTCTGTCTCATATTCAGGTTGGGCTGATCTATAAGGTACTTCAGGATCTTATGGTCTGTGTATATGGTACACTGGACACCATAAAGGTAGTGACGCCAAATCTTAAGGGCGAAAACCACCCCCCAACTCCAAATCTTGGGTGGGATACCACGTCTCGTGAGGCTTTAATTGCCTCGATGCATATGCTATCACATGTCCCCTCTGCATCAACACGACTCCCATCCCTAATATAGATGCATCACATTAATCTAAAAAGTCTTCCACTCCCTTGAGAAGGTCTAACACTGGAGCTTCGCATAATCAGTGGCGAAGAGTCTTGAATAAGGCCTGCTGCTCGGGCCCCCAAGAAAAAGTAACACCCTTCCTGGTCAATCTGGTAAGACGAACAACAATCTTGTAGAAATCCCTGATAAGTCTCCGGTAGTAACCTGCCAGGACAAGAAAACTCCTGAACTCGAATGGGGACCTCGATACCTCCCATCGCATAACTACCTCAATCTTTGTTGGGTTGACCAAAATCCCATTCTGATTAACGAGGTGTCCTAAAGCATCTCCATCCTTAATACTCTAAGAATCTTCGAAATATGCTCCTCGTACTGCTCTCTGGACCTCGAGTATACCAAAATGTCTTCGATGAACACGATCAATGACTGATCCAACATGGGCCTGCACACCCAGTTCATGAGATCCATGAACACTGCCAATGCATGGGTGAGTCAGAAAGGCATCACCACAAACTCGTAGTGTCCATAACGAGTCCTAAAGGTCGTCTTCTGGATATCCTCCTTGAAAACTCTCATCTGATAATACCCATATCTTAAATCAATCTTGGAAAACTTAAACGCCCCCTACAATTGGTTGAATAAATCGTCGATCATCGGTAATGGATAAAAATTTCTTAACCGTCAGCTTGTTCAACTCCCGGTAGTTGATACACATCCGGTATGAACCATCCTTCTTAACAAAAAGGATTGGTGCTCCCCATGGTGAGATACTCGGTATAATAAAACCCTTCCCTAACAGCTCCTGAAGCTGCAAGGATAACTCTTGCATCTCGGGTGGCGCAAGGCTAAAACTCACTCTATCGTAAATTCACTATTTACGAAGTCAGATTTGGATGTTCTTTTTATGGACGCTCTCGGTTTAACGTATTCTACAAATTTCATTTAGATCATTAAGGCTAAAACTCGCTCTATCGTAAATTCACTATTTACTCTTCCCGATATCGTGCCGGTTCCATCGCGAAACTTCGACGGGTCATAACTTCTTCGTTACAATTCGGATTTCAGCGTTCTTTATATCTCCGGAATCCTTGTTTCGAACACTACAACTTTATGTAAAGATATCGGGTTTATCTCACATTTTAATTTTGATGCTTATTTTTATCATTTATTTATTATAAATTTATAAATAAGTAATAAGCACATAAATACACATAATTCACATAATACTCAAATATTTCATTTTTATTATTTCAGAAAGAGTTACAATAGTTGACCTAAACTATTACACTGTCTAAAAATGCTTAGCCCCGAAACTCGGGCGTTACATTCAAGCTCATGATCAATCCAATCAAAGTAGTTGCATTTCATCCCGTTTAACTATAACAAAGACACTCTCATTAAAATCACATTTGTATGAAGAGTACCCTTGTATGTAAGCCATGAACATTTTATCAAAGTATCGACACTTAGATCTGATTTATGTTTGATAAAAGTTACAATCAACTTATGTGAGATTTCTTACCATTGAAAATGGACTATTGAAGAACCTACGAGCTGAATTGGGCAACATCCATGACATTCTCTTCATCGCAGGGTAACAACAACCACATTTTGGGATAAATTTCAGTTGGGTTACTTCAAATCGTGATTGCTTCGACGTTGAAATCGATTGGATCAGCCATCGAATAAAGTAGGTTTTATGCTTCCTGAGAGAAAATTAGGGGAACGAATTTGAGTGAAGTGTCCGACGAAACCCTCGTTGCATCGGACATTAATTTAGGTTACGTAGCCAACCTAAACTCTCTTAACCCGCTACAACTGGATACAAAAGGGGAAATTCCCTTATTAAACAGGTAGTAGTATAGTATAAGCATCTATAACATGCAAAAAATAGAATAATGACATTTTAAAAACAAAATGAAAAGTGGATGAACAACGACAATAGCTCTATTTTTTTTATGTATGTATAATATAATTTTACAACTTAACTTTATATTTCATTTTACATATTCTTTTATTCGTTTTACAACTTCAAGCTTTGTTTTTATATGTTTTTACAACTTTTTTATATGTTTTTTCCTAATCAATTTTCATAATTTCAGTTATTTATTTTGTTTTTATGTGTTTTTTTACAATTTTTTTTACAAGTTTATTTCTTACTTTGTTTTTGCATATATTTTTCTTCACGACCCCATTTTATAGTTTTATTTTCTGCTTCGTTTTACAATTTTACTATTTTTTATTTGTCAAACCGAAGTTGTAAAAATGAATTGTGAAAAAGCATTTAAAAAAATTGAATAAGTTCATAAAATAATTATAAAATCGTGTAAAAGCAAAGTAAATATACAAAGTAATAAAAACATATTGAAAAAAAAACATACAAAAATGAAGTAAAAAATGAATTGTAAATATAAATTAAAAAAAAAACATATTAAGATAAAAAAATGAAGTTGCAAAAAGAAATTATATGAAAAAACCTGTAAAAATAATAAAAAATGTTATAAAAACAAGTAAAAACATATATAAAAAAGTTATAAAAATAAATTTTGAAAAAACATGTAAAAATAAAAAAGTTAAGTTATAAAATTAAATAAAAATATATAAAAAACATTTATTAATTAATAATAGCTTAATTAGATTATCTTAAATAATAGTGATTTTTTTTTTAATTTTTATAAGTAATTAAAGGGATGTTTGGCTAACCATATGATTTTTTATAAACACTTTTTAACTTGTAGCTTATAACTTATTTATTATAATTTTTCTTAAATGTTAATCTCTAATGAAATTTGATACTTGTCATTTTATGATGTTATTTAAATAAATAATATCAACATGTGAATTCGTAGTTTTTTTTTTTATTATTTTTTTAATTAAAAGCAATATAATATTTATACATATATATGTAAAATATCAAATGTAATAAATATTATACTAAATTGCAATTAATACGTTTCTTCATTTCTTATTTCAAAATTTTATTTTAAAAAATACTTATTATTTACATTTTAATATTTTATTTCCTTTAATCAACCCATGTAATACACGGGTTTTACATCTAATAAGCTAATAAGGATGTGTTTGACGCGCGACAACTAGCTTATTTTTTGAGTTTTTTTAAGTTCTCATGTTTGATAAGCCAAAAAGTAACTTATAAACTAGCTTTCTAAAAAGCTACTTAGATCAGTTTTTTAGAAACTTTTTAAAATTTTTCCAAATATACCCATTAATTAATTATAAAAACATTTTTTTAAATGTTATTTTATGTCATTTCATATTTTTCAGTTAGTTTTACCAAACATCATTTTTTATCAAACTAACTTTTCAGCTGTCAGCTAGCGTTTCAGCTAACAGATAATTTTTCAGTTAGTACGCCAAACATCGCGTAAATTAGGAAGACTTATAGATTTTGATTTATCTACGGTATGACACCTTGATAAATTATTTTATACAAACATCTTTTTTAACTTATATCACTATGGATCCGATAATAAACTAAAAAAAAGTTTAAAAAAAATTAGCCAAAACACCTTCTAACTAATTCTCTGAGGATAGCATCTTGATAGTTCTCTGTTTTGGTTTTGTTCCTTCAACATCCCCTCTGCATACGCTACTAGAGTTTACTCCTTTTACAACCTTCGCGAAGGATCTCGAGTTCATATGAGGAGTAATACCTGGACTTTCTTTAGTTCTTCGTGCATCGTAGGGATTGATTAAAGGGGTCTCCTGGTTTCTCCTATCAAACCTTGCTACGTTTAGATTAATCTTTTGTGCACCGATGCATGTCTCATTCAGACGCCGTTCGAATGCCGGAATATCTTGGACTCGAATAAACCTGACGAATCCGAATTTCCTCCCATTCCGATTCAACTTCTTGGCTATATAGACATCCACAACAGTTTCGTACCTTTTGAAAGTTTGCCAAAGCGCTGTTTCATTCCAATCCAAGGGAAAGTTCTGAAAGTAGAACGAGACTGCCTTCCCGTTGATCTCAAATTCTCTGCCAAGCCGCAAGGAGCAAAGATGGACAACGTCTGGCAACGAGTACGCAAAAGGAAAAAGTATGGTAGAGAATTTTAGATCAACGGGAAGGCAGTCTCGTTCTACTTTCAGAACTTTCCCCTGGATTGGAATGAAACAGCGCTTTGGCAAACTTTCAAAAGGTACGGAACGGTTGTGGATGTCTATATAGCCAAGAAGTTGAATCGGAATGGGAGGAAATTCGGATTCGTCAGGTTTATTTGAGTCTTAGATATTCCGGCATTCGAACGGCGTCTGAATGAGATATGCATCGGTGCACAAAAGATTAATGTAAACGTAGCAAGGTTTGATAGGAGAAACCAGGAGACCCCTTTAATCAATCCCCACAATGCATGAAGAACTAAAGAAAGTCCAGGTATTAATCCTCATATGAACTCGAGATCCTTCACGGAGGTTGTAAAAGGAGTAAACTCTAGTAACGTATGCAGAGGGGATGCTTAAGGAACAAAACCAAAAGAGAGAACTATCAAGATGCTATCCTCAGAGAAATCGAGAGAATGCATGCACATCACCTTGGTGGGAGAGGTAGAAAGCTTCCAGGCTCTCATGAACGTGAAAGCCTTCCGGGAAGTAGAAGGATGTCCACAGATCCGGATGCGGTACTTGGGTGGTCTGAAAATGTTGCTGGAGTTTGACAACAGGAAAGATAAAGAAGATTTCTTGAGCAACGGAAAAAGAGATATGGCAGCCCTGGTTTAAAAGTCTCTCTAGTTGGCAAAGTGAATACAATTTTAATGAAAGGATAGCATCTATACTCATTCAAGGTGTCCCCCAACATGCTTGGTGTGAGGAAGCCTTCAACATAATAGCCAAAAACTAGGGAACAATGCTTATCCCTGAAGAATGTGCCACCGACTCGCCAAACTTGGCCTTTGGGAGAGTTGGAATAGTTACTTCCCATCCTGGCATTATAAGTACTTCAATTACAATCAATGTAGATGGAAGGCCCTATGTTATCAACATATTGGAAGATATCTTCGAATCCCTCAATCTCAGTCCGGTTCTTGCTTCCAACGATTTCAATTCAGGAATGGCATGGTGGAATGACGGGAGTGATGTTGTAAGTCTCGATGAAGGGAGTCCTGCCCGATCAGAGGATGGGTGTATATCGCCGGAGTTGTCACTGGAGATCCCCGTCCGGAACCAATCCTGGGAAGGCAGAGAGTCACATGTAAGGAGTTTTGTATCAATGCCCGAGGAGTCCCCTCGGTTATCCAAAATTGCCGACCGTTGGACGGATAATAATACTCCTAGAAGGGATAAATTAGATCACCCGCCAAACACGTCCCCTAATACAAAGATGTTGGGCCACAAGTCAAGCCAGACTCCATCATATCTGGAAGTAAATACTTCCCAGTCCAGGCCCAATAAATCTATTGACCTAAATCAGGCCCCTTCCCGATCTAACGTGCAAAATTATAGTGAATACTCTATGGAAAGAAGAACGTTCTCTGGTGTGCAAGGTGATATGATTCATCCCCCAAATTCTAACACGATATCATCTCCTCCCCCCTCCATGGAGCCCACCTGTGTAAATCTAGTCAATCAATATTCTCCCTTGGAAGACCATCAACCTTAGGCTTCGGAATCACTATCCTCCTCTACAGATAAGGAAGTGGCTAAAACAATCGAGGTTGGTGAGAAATTGGGATTCCAAGTTGGTAGCAGAACCGAGCAACTCAGGGGAATGATTAGCAAATGTGGAGTAACAATTTTGGAAGAATGAAGATACTATCCAACAACATCCGTGGAATTGGGTGTGAAATCAAATGGAGTTGGCTAAAGGAAGCTCGGATTCAGAACTGCGTATTTCTTGTGGGCCTACAGGAGACGAAGTCAACGGAGGTAAAAGGATGTCTAGATAAATATATTTGGGGCTCTTCCAATTTTCAGTGTGAAGTTGTCGATCCTCTAGGACTATCGGGTGGAATTGCCTCCTTATGGGACCCCAACCTTTTTGATGCAAAAGAAACAATAAAAGGTGTAGGGTTCGTAGCTATTAGAGGCCAGTGGCGCAGGGTGAGGAAAGAATGTTGTTTTATCAATGTATATGCCCCAAATGACCCCAATAAGAAGAAGGTCCTCTGGAACAACCTCTATGATCTAATCAATGCTGACTCAGAATGCCACTGGTTTGTCTTTGGGGATTTTAATGCGGTTCGTGCTCCAGAAGAAAGGATGGAATCGGTCTTCTGCCCAAATACTGCATTCTATTTCAATAAATTCATCCATTCCTTGGGTCTGATTGAAATAAAAATGGGAGGCCGCAGATTTACTTACTCGAGCGCATCTGGTGAGAAGCATAGCAAACAAGATAGGTATCTAGTTTCGCCTAATGTAATTGACTCCTGGCCACATTTAAATGTCCTCGCCATGCCCAGACTTCACTCGGATCATTGTGCCATCATTCTCACCTCAAATCAATTGGACTTTGGACCATGCCCATTCCGGTTTTTTAACTCATGGCTAAAAGAACCTGACTTTGAGAGTGTTCTCAAAAGAGGGTGGTCGCTTCGGCACGGTCCTGATACTAACCTGTACAACTCTCCTCTCTCTCTTGTGGCTGGAAAACTTAAGAATTTAAAGGAGTTTATTAAATCCTGGAGGAAAGAAATCATTGAAAGGGACCGGAAAAAGGTAATGGAGTTAGCCAATAAAATAAACGCTATAGACATCCAGGCAGAAAATGAACATATCAATGATGAACAATTGATGAGCCGACAAACTGCTTATCAAGAGATCAGGAAAATTGAAACCTTGCGCATTGAAGACATGAAACAAAAAGCCAGATCCAGATGGGCCTTAGAAGGGGATGAAAACAACAGATTTTTTCATGGTTTGATAAATAAGCATCACAGGTCGCAAAGGATAAATGGCCTTAAGGACAACGGGATTTGGATATGTGACCCTAAGGCGATAAAAGAGGTGGCAGTTAAGCATTTCTCTAGCAGATTCGAGGAACCAATCAAATCAAGACCGAAATTCATCTGGCCCAATTTCAAGAAACTACCATCTCATATGGCTGCATTCCTAGAGGAACCAATTAGGCTCGACGAAATCAAGGCGGCTGTCTCGGCTTGCGGTTCGGACAAGGCACCGGGCCCTGATGGCTTCACTTTCGCCATGTTAAAGAAACATTGGGAGGTGTTAGAGAGTGACTTCTACTTTGCAATTAAACATTTTGAATCTATTGGACAAATTGATAAAGGATGCAACCCTTCCTTTATTACGAATGAATTCCGCCATATTAGCTTAATTGGATGCCTATACAAGTCGATTGCAAAGATCTTGGGTGAACGGCTAAAGAAGGTGGTTCACCTTGTAGTAAGCCCAGTTCAGACTACATTCATCAAAAATAGAAATATACTTGACGGGCCTCTCATACTTAATGAGGTTATCACTTGGATCAAGAAGACAAAGAGGAAAGCGTTTACATTTAAGGTCGATTTCGAGAAGGCTTTTGATAGCCTTAGTTGGGAGTATTTAGATTCTGTGATGCAACAAATGGAGTTTGGGACCAAATTCAGAAGGTGGATTATTGGGTGCCTCTCTTCTGCAAGAGTTTCGGTGCTCATAAACGGATCCACAACAATAGAGTTTGGCATGGAGCGAGGGGTTAGACAAGGGGATCCTCTATCGCCATTTTTATTTATTATTGCAGCAGAGGGACTGAACATGGAAATGGAAACGGCAAAAGAAAAAGGATTGTTCCAGGGCATTAAACTACCGCGGGATGGGCCGGTTATATCACATTTCCAATACGCAGATGATGTTATTTTTATGGGTTCTTGGTCGATTGAGAATGCAAAAAATTTGATCAGAATCCTTAGATGCTTTAAACTATCATCTGGACTCAAGGTAAGCATGCTGAAAAGCAAGTTATTTGGTTTTGGGGTCCAAAATTGTGAACTGAATTTGGTGGCTAGAAGCTTCAATTGCTCTATTGGTACACTCCCCTTCATTTACCTAGGTCTCCCTGTGGGGGCATCTATGGCAAGATCTATACATTGGAATCCAATTGTAGAAAAATTCCAGGCGAAGTTATCAAAGTGGAAGGCAAATACTTTGTCGTTTGGTGGTCAATTAACGTTGTGTAACTGTGTTTTAAGTAGTCTTGGTTCTTTTTATTTTTCTCTATTCAAAGCTCCAGTTAAAGTTATTAAGTGCCTTGAGAGAATCAGAATGCGATTCTTCTAAGGAGGAGATATGGACTCAAAGAAGAAGGTATGGATTGCATGGGACAAAACACTTGCCGATATAGATAAAGGAGGTCTGGGGATTGGTAGTCTAAAGGCACAAAATTTAGCTTTAATGGGGAAGTGGTGGTGGAGATTCAAGGTTTCAAACAATGGTATGTGGGCTAAGGTGATTAAGTCCATTTATGGTCCGGACGGCGGTTTCCTCAGGCCCTCGGTTGCAAAAAGAAGGAGCGGATGTTGGGGAACAATAGCCAACATCCCTAAAGAATTGGGAAAGGAAAATGTACCCTTCCTGGAACACTTCAAGGAGGTTCCCAACAATGACGGTTCATCTAGATTGGGCTGGTCTCTAGATCCTTCTAGGACTTACACTGTTTCTTCCCTCAGGTGCTTTATAGATAGCTCATCCCTCCCGCAAAGTGATGGAAAATGGGTTTGGAATCCTTTAGTCCCGGGGAAAGTAAATATCTTAGCTTGGCGGATATGCCATGGGAAACTTCCAACCATGGACAACTTATTTCAAATTGGTATCAGCCAATCTAACATGTGCAGGCTCTGTAACGAGGCTACAAAAACTGAAGACCACATTTTTGTGGAATATCCATTCTCAAAAGGTGTTTGGCAGCAGGTGAATAAGTGGTGGCGGCTATTGGACTATCCTTTCAATTTGGTTGGTGATCTATTAAATTGCAAGGTGAATATGCAAGAGCATCAGAGGATATCCACAATCCATGAAACTATAATGTTGGTGTATCTATGGGCAATATGGAATCATCGAAACTTATTTCTGCATGATCCAAGTAAAGGTCAAAAATCCCATTCGGCGCTGGTTGTCGAAGTGAAATCTCTCACTCATTTATGGATAAATGATCGGAATCGGAAGGGGACTCTCAATTGGCTGGAGTGGTGCTGTGACCCAATTCTAGAATGCTATTGCAGGATTAAGTAGTCAAATTTCCTTTTATATACTTCTTATTATGTATGTGTTATCCATTGAACTCTCCCTTATGTTTTTTTGTACTTTCTAGCCCTTGGCTAGTTTTTATCTATGATATTGCCAGCTTGCGGTTCAAAAAAAAAAAAAAAGAAAAAAAAAGAAACCAAATTTAAAAAATATAATGACTAATTATGACCATGATCGTTTAATTTTTTTCATCTCTGTAGAAATAATGATAAGTTTGGGGAAAGTGATAGATCTGTAACAAAATCTTATCAAAAACCCCAAATTGAAGCAAAAGAAAAACTCACCAAGTAAGTAAAGAGCACCACTACCACACACATATATATTACATAATACATATTTGCTTAGCTTTTCTCTTCTAGCGTTTTCGATTTCCGTGTCCAGCAAGCATCCATTGATCGGAGGTTTCTTAACCCACGGGCAATTGATATCCGTCAGTTAACTGTGTCTCACTTCCTTCACCTACAATCTTGATTCTAATGGCTTGTTTTTAAGCTATTTTATCCTCTTTTCAATCCGAACAAAAGACACCCAGAAGTTCGATTTTCGTTATAGATCGAAAAATCAGATAT